AAGGAAGGAAGGAAGGAAGGAAGGAAGGAAGGAAGGAAGGAAGGAAGGAAGGAAGGAAAAATCAAATCAGATAATTAAGTATCTTCCCAATAGCAATTTACTGTTATTGTAAAAGAAAACACACACATTTTTCCCAACTGAATACCCTTCAAATAGTAAACTTTCTTTCACCTTCAACCCTAAAAACCAACAGTTATAATTTTACAACATACTCCCTTGGGATAAAATATTACATTATTCAAAGACTAAGACTTTTCAATGAGCTAAAATATAAACTCCTAAAACAGAAACAAAATAGTGATAGTGACTTTTAGAAGGTCTATAAACATTTCTACTAACTGTATCAAATTCTAATGGAGGAAAGAACAAAAATCTATGAAATATATGCATTTTACTTATATGTTAGCAGATTTATTATTTAATCATTCATGCTGGTATAACTTAGAAAGTAAGGCTGAATGGGAATCAGCATGTTTCAATCAGCTTTTCACTAAAATAGGATTTCAAAATCTATTGACGTGTATATATTTCTATCATGTAAACTCCATATTTGCTTCTTGCTTTTTATCACTTGGTTTTATTTTTAACTAATAATTGTATTTCAAATGGAGCATCAGGAAAATAATATAACCATGTCATAAAGACATGTGATAAAACAAGAAAAAATTACTGTATTATTAATATGTGTATTTTTGGAAGGTAGAGCACAGGTCAATGAGTACTTCAAGCTTGAATGTCAGAAGACTCTGAGTTCCATTTCTGACATACTTTGAAACAAAATATCTAAAATAACGTTAGGAACCTATTCTGTCTTCAACCTTGAGAAATAACATATTGCAAGAGATGTCACTTAATCTAAGACCAGATGATCCAACAGCATGACAGCTTTATGTGTTTGAAATTACAAGAGTCATGCAATTTGTGGTTTTCAAAATTTTGAACTCCAATGTCTATATTATTTCTTGCAATCATCTCTGTAAGTAATTCTGTTTATTACTAGGTTACCAAAACTAATAGTGTCCATCCCCATCCCTGTGTCCCAGAGAACTAGGCTTCTGAGATTATATCAGTTTTAGGGAGGAAGGCAGTGTTATTGGTACAGAACTTTAAACAAAAATTGGTTTTGTTTGGAATTCTACTCAAAATTTCCACCAAGATAAATGACAAAGGAGGTTGAAGTTAAAAAGTGTATTAATCGTGGAATAAAATATAGAACATCTACCACATTTTGAATTGACAAAGCAGTCAAATGTGTGTAAAAACAGCTTAATTGCTATTACTATTAATTACTTGTGATATGTTTCTGTGTATGTATGTGTGTTATTGCATTATTGGTGATGGTGGAAGTAAAAGATACAGAGGGAAGATTACTAGCAATAGCAATAGTTCTTAGATTTATATAGCTCTCCATAGTGCTTTACAGCACTTTCTGGGCAGTTTACAGAGTTAGCATATTGCTCCCAATAAACTGGGTCCTCATTTTATCAACCTTGAAAGTATGGAAGGCTGAGTCAATGTTGAGCCCCATCAGGATTGAACTCTAGGCTGTGGGCAGAGTTTGCCTTCAATACTGCATTCTAACCATCAGGGCTCCTAACCTGTTCCTTACTCAAATTCCCTTTTCTCATCAATTTCATTTTAAAAGTAACCTCAGAATTGCTTTTAGAAGTATATCTTCAGGGATGACATAAACTGAGATTTTTCAGATTTAGGTATACAAAATGTGTCATGTGTTTTCAAGTTATCATACGTGTTCTGAATAATAAAAATTATAGGTAACTTCAGAAATGGTTTTTTTTCCCACTGATAAAAGCAAAAATGTTTGACCTGCAATTCAGCATTTGACTTTTACATTTGTTCTACACATATACTGCAATAGCAGAAGATGCAGGGAACAGATAGATAATAAGCACGTACATTTCAAATAAACATACCCATAACTAGTGATTATGCATTAGCAGAAGATGCAGGGAACAGATATATAATAAGCACGTACATTTCAAATAAACATACCCATAGCTAGTGATTATGTCTTTCACATTGCTAGAAAGCAGTAATATTTTTAGATTGCTATAAAAGTTTATCCACTTCTCTGGAACTGCCTACTTTTTGTCTGGCAATACTATTTTGAAGTGTCTATCTCTGTGGCAACATATAACAGAAAGATATTCAATATACCAAAATTAGGAATTCTGAATTCCTAGCAGCTATACTATTTCAAAAATAATTGCAGCATAATCCTTGCAGATTTACTGAGATCTGTTCTGTCCTGAAATATACAAAGCAGTATATTTCTCAGCTGAATGTATTACAAACATGCTATGCCTAAGCAAACAGAGCTTATGATGGGATTCATAAACCAAGACATTCCTGAGCTGAAACTTAAGGAATTTACCCAGCAGTTTCTCCATTATAAAATATAGCAGCACATGTTAGTATGACTAAATTTCATTTGCTATAATTATATCAGCCGCTGATTCCTATTGATCCCCAAATCCAAGCCCCCTCTTTTAAAAGTAATTTACAAAAGCTTCTTTAAAAATAAATAAAGTGTAGAAACTCCTTTTTACTTCAATATACTCTCCAAATAATTTAACAGCATTCAATACTGAGTTCTTTAAAATAACCACTTTGGGACAATCTTTATTATTAACTATTGTAGGCAGGTGAATCAATATTGTAATTATTTTTGGCCGATACATGTTTTAAATGTCAACATTTCCCAGGATTTGGCCTTCCAGGAGTATATAAACTTAGTTCCCATTCCAGCACGCTGGTTTGGGATGTCAGACAGAGTATCCCATCATATTTCAACATCATCACTGAAATCATGTAAAATAGGGTTTGGCATTTGCTTCAGGATTCTGCCTCCTGAGAATCTTGATTCTCTGCTGATTCCTCCTGACTGCTGAAAACACTGTGGACAGCATTTGGTAACATCTTAAGAGACAGATTGGAAAAGTGATTTGTCACAGATTAGCAAAGCTGAATGCCATACTGCTGGACTAGAAAAATGCTGCAATCACAAATTTGTATTTATCTAACTCATTCTAGAACTTGATTCCTAATTAATTTTGACTTTAAGATCTCATATTATATGCACACTGATCTTTACTTTCATATCCTTTCCTAGGCTCTTTAGTTATGTATTCTAGTTTTTCTTCTTTATTCATGCTTTTAATAAACAATGAGGGTCTGAATTTTTGTACTGCTAGCTAGAAACTTTAAGGATATGAATGAACCAAACTAGCCCAAATTAAATTGCACAAAATCAGAACTGCTAACTGTTAACAGACATCAAAGCAACTTAATAACATTGGTTCCCCCAAAGGAGTTGGTTTGTGCTTGGGGTTCTCCTACATTGTCACCTCCTACTTAAACAGCCCAGGGTCTTTCCTTAGCTCCAAAGGATTTACTGATATACTAGGATCAATATGTTCTGGTGATAGTAATCCTGTTGTTCTATGATACATTCTGTGAGGAGTAAATTCAAAATGCAGCAATTTAAACTATTGATGGGACACCACCAACAAGCTAGGATAATTCTTATTTTGAAGGTGCTACATTGGTTGCCTGTAGGTTCCTAGGCTTAATTAAATGTACTGGTTATTATCATTAATGTTTTGTATGGCTGAGCTTTGGGATCCATAGTATGCAACACACTGCCAAAATTGAATGTCTATGATGACGTCTACTTTGGTGATCAAGAGAAGCCATTTTTTTGCTCCCCTTCCTTAAAAGGTCTTCTCAGTGCAGGTCACCATTTCATAGAATACCCTTCTTCCAGAAGTATAGATAGATAGTCCTGATTCAACTAAAATTTTGTAAGCAAGCTAAATCAGCTCTATTCCAGCGTGTGTCTGATCCTTAGAAGATATTAGTTTCATTTTATGGATACTTTTGTAATTATTATTGGGTTTTAATCATATTACTTTTTTACTAATTTTTTACTTTGATATTTGCACATGATTTGTTGTTCCCTACCTGGTTCACTACAAATAGGGGGACGGCAAATATTTTAAAAGAAAGTATATTTTGTTTTATTGTTTTAAAATTTTTACATTACTCTGTAATATGTCCAGAAAACTTTCATTGTTAGGCAAATTAAAGGAGCCCTGATGGCGCAGTGGTTAGAATGCTGTACTGCAGGCTAACTCTGTCCACATCCAGGAGTTCAATCATGACTGGCCAAGGTTGATTCAGCCATCTTTTCAAAGTTGGTAAAAGAAGACCCATATTTGCAATATGCTGACATTATAAACCACTCAGAGGGTTGTATAAAGCACTAAGCGGTATAGAAGTCCAAGTGCTATTGCTATTGCTAAGGATCCAATAAATAGAAAGCTTACCCCCCCCAAAAGGCATGTTTATGACTGCTTTTTTGATAGCTCTTTCGGTCTTCTGATGGAAGACTGATGGGTTGCATTATCCACTCACATCTACAATTACACCTACAGACATCATAGTTAATGACTGCACTCTCCGTAGATATCAGGAGTCATCTAGAGGAATATGCACTGGAGAAGGCAGATCATTAAGCAGCAACCTTGGAATGCCAATTGAATGGGAAAGTAAGGGCCAACCTGACAGACACTGGTAAAACGTTTTCACATGCTACTTTCCTGGCAAAATTATGTAACACGTGCTAAGACTATAAGACATGTTACCCACCAAAGGCTAACTATTGGCCCTTGGTAAAGGAGGAGTATTTAGGAATAAATGGACCAAATACTTGTTTTGCTCCACACAGAAAATTTGATGAAATCTTCTATCATCCTGGATTGATACTGTATCCCGAATCAGTCATCCATCTTATAAACTATGAGCAGTTTCCCAGGCTATGATTTCTCCTATAGCTCTATAATGGTAGGCTGATAATAGGAAAGTAAACTGTTGAAGATGAAGGAAGATACCCTTTGTGATGTGTCCAACATTTATCTGCTACTGTCTTATAACAAGCAATAGTGGTGCAAGAACTTATACCTCCTGCTTTACAGGTTGGTCCACTTTTCAATAAGCTCCTCTAAGATGCTGCTACCGATAACCAATCAAGGCTCTCTTTCTTTTGTTGGGTGGGGCAAAAGTATTTTTCTTCTGTGCTGATTTTAAATTTTCTCTCAAGAAACACTGTGTTCATCCTAACAGGTCAACTATCAGTAAATTATGTGGGTGTCTTTGTGTGGTTTATTTCCTTTTCTTTGTGCAGGGTGTTCCAAAATGTTCATCTTTAGGAGGTACAGACTCCAAATGAAGAGCTATGGAGGAATATCTTCTATTTTTCCCAGGCCAATCCAATATCTGACAAGAAAAATATTCCTCTGATATAGCAAAAGTTTACCTTCAAGCTCTATTTGGACACAAACAAGGCTGTTTTGCAAAAACACCAACTTCTTTCACTTACCTCTGTGACATAGCCAGTAGCATTCACAAACTTCTCAAACTCTGCATTGCTGACTTCATAGCGATCCATGAAAAAATGACCAATGTGGACTCTCCTTCCAGGCCCTTCTCCATCTTGTTTTATAATGGGCTCATCAGTTCCCATTGTAAACACTCCAGCTGGAATTGGGACCATCTGCAAATGGAAGAAGACTCTTTCAGATATGCTTAAATCTTCAAAGGTCTTCTGTGTCTTTTCTTACAGGATGTACAAATAACTATTGGTCAATATCTTCAAAGTTCAGAATATCATCAGCCAACCAATGGGTGGCACATAAATTTAATAAATAAATACAATATTGTATGAAACATACTCAGTAAACTACAGTAACAAAACACAGCAACCCATGTCCAGAAAACCTGCGTGATTAGGCAGATAAAACAGAGGTACAAAAAGTAGATGATGGAGAATAAAATCCAAATGACTGGGCAGAATTTCAGCTGTGAAATCTTCAATTCAAAGGATATATCAAAATAGTGACTGCACTTGTATGCCGTGGCTAGTGATAGATATCGTTAAGTGTCATACATTTTTAAATCATACACTCAGCTCTGAAAACACAACAAAATGTAACCTTTTTTCACAATGTAATTTTCTGAAATTGAAAGAGACGGAGCTTATCTGATCACGTGAAAAAAATTCTGGTTATAGGAAACAATAGAGCTAGAAGCGTCCACACCTGAGTACATGGGGAAAAGGGACAACTTTGTCTTACTTCAGACATTCAGCAGTCACCCAAATAGTGACACCATCTCAACACTGCAGGTTGCTGCTAATTTGCACACTATTCACAAATTGGTCTTGGCAATATTCAGACTCCTATACCTTTTCATGTATTGCTTGTTGTTCCATGTCTCTTTGTAAGCAAGATCTTTGGCTTAATGAAACAACAAGCAAGAGGAGAGAAAAATTAATGATGTTGTTTAGATCCCTCTCTAGAGAACCATTTCAATAGAATACCTCAGTGGATACAACTAATTTGCTCTTGTCCCTGAATTATTAAGTCTGGCTACTAATAGCTTTTGTAAATCTGCATGAAAGATATTAATTCAAAACTAACTTGTGGGCTAAATAATAAGATTAAAAAACATTGGGCCATATTCAGTTGAAGTTTGTTTATTTTAAAAATTCCATCTTCTTGTAAAAAAATCTTTGGTTAACTGTGTCACTTGAATCACTATCTTTTCCTTACTAAAACATGTTAAAAGAAATTAATTTTAATAGGTGGAAACATCATAATATTCTAAGTAAATAAAAAAATTGAATAAGTTCTAGAGACAATTGAGACAAAGGTGAGACAATTCTTATCAAACAAGTCATACAATATAAGGAGCTGTCAAACTCCTGGCCTGCAGGCTGGATGCATCACGCACTGGCCATGCCTTTAGTGAAGGGGGAGAAAGTCCTAATATGTCACGTGACACCGCTGATGTGAGTTTGACACCCCTGATATAAGGAGAAAAAGTTTTTCACTTCAGCTCTAGCCCAACTAATTTGGTGAGTCAATATTATTTTTTTCATGCAATTAATACAATGTAATTGTCTTGTTTTGATTAGATTTCTGACGTACATGTTAAAAAATATATGATACTGCTGCACCGGCCATCTCTAAATGTGACTATACCTACTGAAATATGTTTGAATTACAAATCTATATCATTTTTAGGGGAACAAAAAAAATCCCAAGTGTGATTTGTTAAAAATTACTTGCCATGAAAGACAGTAAAACAACAAGTATTAAATATAACCAAGTTACGTAAGAAGGACAAAATTTCTAAGCATATGTTATCACATGAATTCCCTTTAAAGGCAGATATTATTGATAAGTCGGGGACTCCCAACTTTGGAGGGTCCAGTAGATCAATGTGGAATTCTCACAAAAGAGTTACCTGCCTCCCTCTACTCATTAGATCAAGAAAATGATATCAGAGTTGAGCTGAAAGCAACAGGATACAATGGCATTCCTTCTGAGATCAACAATGCACTAGACGCAAATGCCTTGCAGGCTTTCTGAGATATCTTGGAAGACATTTGGTTGACAGGAAAGATGCTGGATGGCTTCCATGATACCCTCAATTGTTGCTCTCAGTAAAAAAAGGTGGGAACTAAATCAGATTGCAGACACTATAGAGCAGGGGTGTCAAACTCCAGTCCCTAGGGTGCTTAGATCTGGCCCACGGGACTGCCCTGAAAACAGCAAAGGAGCAACCTGCGGTGCCTCTGCCAGTGAAAATAAAGCTCATGAGGGCTGTGGATGGCCCTCCCGAGCTCCGTTTTCACTGGCAGAGTGCTTGGCCTGCTACAGGCACCCCTGACATAAGTGATGTTGAACTGGCCATGCCCACCTGAGCCCCTCAAGGTCAAACACAACCTTGAAGTGGCCCTCAATGAAACTGAGTTTGACACTCCTGCTACAGAGGTATTTCACTGCTGTCCATTGCAGGCAAGATTTTTGCCCATATTCTCCTGAATAGGCTTGTCACTGTCTCAGAAAGGAACTCCTGGAGGCGCAGTATGGCTTTCATCCAGAATGGAGTACAGCAGATATGATGTTTGCCATGAGGCAAGTCAGGAGAAGGACACTGAGCAGAACAAGCTTCTTTACTCTGGGTTCATTGAACTGACAAAGGCATTTGACACTATAAAGAAAAAGGCTCTCTGGATCATCTTGAGATGTTATTGATGCCTGAAGAAATTCATGAAATTGATCAACTATTTCATAATGGACAGATTCTTTACAACAGTGATTCATAGGCTGAATTTGCTATTTCTAATTGGATAAAATAAGGTTGTGTGCTAGACTCAGTCCTGTTCAATTTGTTGTTGCATGTTGCATGTTGTCATGTGCTGTCCACAGCTTGAAAGAAGATGTGTACATCAGGCACTGATTGGACATCTCTGTCTTTGACCTTTGCTGCTTGAATGCACAGAAGAAGTGCCTCCATACAGTCTTTCAAGAAACCCTCTTTGACACACTTCTGGCTCACAAAGACAGCGGTCTATAGTTGATGCTGAACAAATTCTCAGACGTTGCTGTGCTCTTTGGTCTAACTATCAGCCTGAACAAGACTGAAGTACTTTATCAGCCCATGCCAAATATCAAGTCTGTGGAACCAAAAGTCACTATTGATGACATCCAGCGGACAAATGTTACCAGCTTCAAGTATGTAGCAAGCACTGTCTCGAGTGCTAGGTCTTTGGACATAGAAATTGACTCTAGGATCAGAAAGGCCAACCAGGCACTGGAATAGCCAAATACTTTCTTCCTCCTTCCCTCCCTCTCTCATTAGAATGCTCTACCCACAGCCAGGAATTTGATCCTGACTGGCTCAAAGTAGACTCAGCCGTCCATCCTTCCGAGGTCAGTAAAATGAAGACCTAAATTGTTTTTTTTTAAATAGTTTTTACTGAAATTAAGCTTTAAAAACATTGAACGTGGTGGTCTTTTTATATATATATATATATATTTGTTTTCATACACACATACACACACACACACACATATATATATCAATCTTCACATTGTTATATAAGCAAAATATCACCAAACAATATAAACATTTATATACATATATACAGCTATATGCATATTTACATTTAATCTTTATATCAATTTTTATCCTAAACGTTATGTTGCAATAAGATCTCTTCTTAAATTCTAGTTCATGTTTTTTAGACTTCCTTTCATAGCCCTCCATACATAGAAATTTTCCCATACCACATAGAATTCTGAAGTATCTTTCTCTTTCAATTCTAACATTATATTATATAGCTCAGTGCATTGAAAAATCTTTTTTATTATTGCTTCGTCATTTGGTGTTTCTTTTAATTTTCATGTTTGGGCAAGTAGTAATCTTGTGGCTGTAATTACATGAATGATTAGGTAAATATCTGCTTTTTAAAAATTCTCATTTATTATTCCCAATATAAATATTTCTGGTGTGTAATTTATTTTTAAATCCAACATTTCTTCGAGCCATTTCCATATTTTGAAGACCTAAATTGTTGGTGGCAATATGTTGATGATAAATCTTAGGTGTTATTGCTATATTCAATAGAACTCATGTACCTTTAAATGGCACCTTAACAAATTCAATAAGCTAAACTGAGTTTTTCTCACAACAGACAAGAAGTTTCATCGGCTTTCTTATGTAAATCTATTTTTAAAAGATGCATAAGAAAATGTAAACTTATCCCCAAAGATTGGAACAGAAAATAAAAAATATACACTTACAAAAGGACTTTCACTGAAAATCTATTTATTCCCAAAGGTTGCCCTAGATATGAGATTAGCCATGTTTCCACATCTCTAATGAGCAGGTGTTTAAGTACACAGAAATCAGTGTCAACATCTGGGAAGGCAAAATTTTCTAAATTTAATTAATTTTTCCCTTAATTTCTTATTTTTTATGTGCCAATCTTTGTTTCTTTTGATTGAAACAAAACATCAACAATGGATCAGATATGCAGTCTATTTTCCCCTTTCTTCCTGACAGGTGACAACTGAAGTCCTTGTTCCGAGCTGAGCAGGTATTCAAAGATTAATAGCTCACCTTCAGTTGCTTTTGGAAAACACAGGAAAGCAGAATTTCAAGTCTTTGAGGATTAAATCAACCAACAGTGAGGAATCAGTGAAAAATCTTTCCTAATATTGTCAACATGCATAACAGAGGAGGAAGAGGATGAGGAAGAGAAAGAAAAAAGAAGAGAAAAGTCAAGAGGAGAAAGAAGAAGAAGTGAAAGAAGGAAGAGGAAGGAGGACTTGGGCAGCTCATTGCTCAACATTGCCTTAGAACACTATTGTAGCAAGCTTTCAGTATGTATCCACGTAGGTTATTTAAATATAAATGTGAATCCATGTTTTCAATCTTGGCATCTTTAAGATACTTCAACTTCAACTCCCAGAATGCCTCACTGGTATAAATCTAATATTTCCATTATAAACAGTTATTCATATTACTATTGAACATGAGGGTTGGTTGGTTCATTCTCCATTCAGAATTAAGACATATACCAAACTTTTGGTCTCCCCACCACCACCTCCAAACCAAGTCCATGAATATATTCCACTATCTTAGTCCAGTGGCTAAGGTACCAATTAAAAACCAGGGGACTGTGAATTCTAGTCCCAGCTC